GGGGCATAGGAGATGGGTTGAAAAGGCGGGAAGGGATATCGTTAGGATAGACAGACTAGGGAAGACATTTTTGAGCCACCTTTGGCAAAGTGGAAAGGAACGCATGGCCATCGGTGATCGGTCCTGTGGGAACAATGCTCCGTCTTCTCGAGGACGCGTGGTCAATAGTCTAACCGCTAAGGCATGCAAAACATAGGAGTACGCCCCCCCCCCTCGGTGTTTGCCATTGGGGTTGGGTTTTCATCGCTTGGCAACGACGTTGTAAAACAAACCGATCACTTCGTGAGCTAGGTAACCAAGCCACCGTATATTTTTGCCCTCGTGTTTTGTCGCGGTAACTTTGAATGGTGGTCGAGTAGATTCTGTTGTGCGGGGTCGAGAACGCTCACTCCGCGCAGTGGGGATGATCGCACTGACAGATATACTTGTAGCAATGCCAAGTGGTTGGTACGGGATGTTCCAATGGAATGAGGTAGAGCGGAATACCGGGTGACATGTGTGGTACGTAGAATGGATTCCAGGGATGTACAAGGTACCCCCGTTGTATACGGCGTCGCCCCCTCAACGGGGCTTGTGTGTGCGTATGTAGATGCAATTAATCGCAACAAGCTTTTCTCCTCGGTGGGAGCCCGCCGAGTTGCCGATACCCTAATCAACACACGTCTTGCGACAAGCTACCCCCAATTCGGATAATCCTAACACGTTAGCGTGACATCATTCGGGATCCCGAGGTGGGGCTAGCTACAAAAGGGTTTGGCCAGAGAACAGTGACACGGAAATCATGGAGCAGCAGCTGGATGAGCTCCAGCTCTCGGACGAGCAGCGAAACGTAATCGACGCCCTTATCAAGGAGCAGGTCAAGAAGAAAGTAGAAGAAGCAGCAGCAGCAGCAGAGCGCCCCGCAGCACAGAGCGAGGGCATGCCTTCCGAAGGAGGCGACACCCGGCTGGAGGGGCCGGCTGGCTCGGAGTCAAGCCCGCGACCCGAAGACCAGCCCCGATCGCCGGCGGACGTCAGCCTCATCGACACCCTCGCGCGGGCCTCACAGAGGGTCAAGATTGAACCGGAGGATGAGAGCAGGGAAGTCCCAACAATACATATGAGCGCAGGTATCACTATCCCTGCATTCACCGGGAAGTTCAGCCCCGCGGACGATGTGCAGACGGCGGTAATGGTCTTGACTAGTCAATTCCGGTCTTTGTTGGAGCAGGAGCGTTGCCTTGGGGCAATAGAGTGTAAGAACACGATTCGTGTAGGAAAGACTGATGCGGATATCTCGGCGTTGAAGGTGGAGCATGGGACGGAAGCTGTAGATCGGACGGTTAAGGCATGGCAGCTGATAATCTCCAAGATACAAGTACCCACGATAGTCCCTGCAATCCTAGCTAGTGGTTGCCCCACTGAATCGTGGGATCAATTTCTCAACTTTTACCGAGTGCACGCAGAAACGGACAAGGTGGAGTTGAAGGGGCAGTGGTACTCGTTGAAGCAGCAAGTAGGGGAGGAGCCCCGGCGCTATCTCACAAGAGCATCAGTACTTCGCCAGAAACTAGAAGCGTACGATTGGGTGCAATCCGATCATGATGCTAACGTCCACCATGTACGCAACCTTCTGCCCGATTTCCATGTGCAGAGGAGCGTGTTGGCGCATTTGGAGGTCAAGACGCAATTGGTAGAGAAGGTGATTCTGACTGCCTGGCACTTGCGGTGATAACCGTGGTGGCGGGGGCGGGAACATGGGGGATAGGGGGAAGACGAGAGGACAACGGAAGCCGCGGTAACAGCAGCAACAACCGCAGCAGCCACAGCAGCAGCATCAGCCGTACCTTAAGCAGCAGCAACAGGTATACCCGCCGCCGTACCCGCCTGAGATAAAATATTGTAACCTCCACAACTCCCCGTCCCACAGCAACGAGGAATGTCGCTTGCAGCGGGGTTGGGGAGGTCCCTCGGGCGGCCAAGGTGCAAGCTACGGCGGAAGGCACGGGCCCCAGCATGGGGGCCGGGCCTTTTCTGGAGGAGGACGCCATCAGCAGCAGCCGGCAGGAGGAAGATTCGGGGGGCGTGGCGCCGCTTGCGGTGGGAGGGGCAGGGGGCCTTTTTACTAGGGACCGCCGGGCAGCAACCTCCCCGCCTACCCTGAACCTCAGCGGGGCTACGACTACAGCGCCTACCCCCCCGACATGTACCGCCCGCAGGGAAATGAACGTCCCATCCACCCGAATGACCCTCGCAAGCGGTGTGAGAACTGCGGTGAACTCGGCCACAACCATCTGTTCTGTCCTTCGCGTGTTGATGTCGGAAGGCCAGCTGGCATGCCGGCCGCCAACGCGCCGCCCAGGCCCTCACCGCCCCGGCCGCCGGCCGGTGGCTACAGCCAGCGGCCGCCATGGGCCCACTCGCACGGGCAGGCCAACACCGCGCAGCAGTACGGCGGAGAAGGGGTAGAGCCAGGAGCAGCAGGAGCGACGGCGGCGACCACTGCAGCACCATCTACGGGGGGGCATGCAGTGACGCACTTGACCGGTGTTTATCAACAACCGGTGACGCACACGAGCGGTGTGTACGAACACCCACCCCAACAGCAGCAGCCGGAGCACCTATCCCCCCCATTCCAACAGCAGCAGCCAGTCCCCGCCCCTTACGCCTCTCCCGCGCCTTTGACCGGAGCATCTTCGTCGGCAGAGGGGACTTCGTATGCGTGTGTTGTAAGGGACACGTGAAGTGAGTTCCAGAGTGAGATTTCGAGTGGATTCGTGGGGGGTGAGGGGTATGCCTTGATGAACTCTATGCCGGTTGTGAGGGAGGAGCGTGAAGGAGTTGAAGAATGGCTTGCAGACTCCGGTGCAGCTAAGCACACCATCGGAGAGCCCACGAACATATATGACGTGATCATTCCGCCCCATGGTAGCGAGAGAGTGCAGATCGGTGATGGCAGGACGATGCGAGTGCTTGGAATCGGATGTTTAAACGTGATGTTTCATCTTGAAGGTAGAGACTTTTGCGTGAAGCTTACCCGAGTACGTCATGTAGAAGGAATGGGGTTCAATCTTTTCTCCCTCCACCAAGCACAGGGATTGCAACGTATGGCCTTGGACGACGTAGGCACCCATCTTTCCCATGGCCAATTGACCTTTCCCCGTGGCGAGAGGGGTTCGTCGCTTTGGGCCACTCGCTTGCCTCCCAACTATGAAACGCCCACCGATGTGCGTGTGATGCCTTTTCCTCCCGTACCCCCTCCCCGCGCTGCTTGTGTACGTTTACATGCGGATGATGGTAGAGTGATGCCAAAAAACCCACCGGTGTTTCCCCCCCCTCCGGGTGTGGCATTCGTTCCTTCCGCAGTGTCAGGTGTCCCGCCCGCTGAATGCAGCGTAGTGCCTCCGGTGATGTCTGTACCTTACACCGTTCCCAGGAGTGCTGTTCAACCCCCCGTGTCGAATTTTCCGCCCGCTGCTGCCGGCGTCGTACCTTCCACGGTGTATGGTTTCCCGCCCGCTGCTAACAGCGTAGTGCCCTCTACTATGCCCGGTTTCCCATCCGCTGCAAACAGCGTAGTGTCCTCAATTGTGTCCGGTCTCCCGCCCGCTGCGAGCAGCGTCGTTCCTCCGGCAATGTATGCCCCCCCCCCCGCTGACAGGAGTGTGATGTTTCCTTCCGCTCCTCAAGTGCTGCATGGTATGGAGTTGGTAGCTGTTCCCGGGCTGCCCTCGCCCGACATGTCCATTTTTCAGCAGAGTAATGATGATGATGACCGTGGATGCATTCCATACACAGAACAGGGGGATTACGAGTGGGCTGTGTACCTATTGGAACAAAGAGAGGTATCAGAAGACCCCTACGAGTTTTTAGACTTGATGTTTGAGTCTG